CTGCATGCGCGTGACAAGGAGACCGGAAAATGGGCCATCCAGGCTTCGGAAACCAAAGAAATGGCTGATAAGCTCGTAAGTAACTACGAACTTGAGAACTCTATGAATATTTTGCATAAATATCACTTATGGATGCTATTGGTTTCTGTTTTTTTTTATGGCTACAGATTGAACACACTGAAGAACTGGTTGAAGGCAAGCTCGTCCCAAGTGTAGAAAAAGACCCTTTCACCTTGGCTTTGGGAAAGCCCTACCTTCCAGGACGGGTAGTAGGTGCAGGAGGGTCATTGCTAGGGTGGGAAAAGGTGATGGGTCCAGAGTATACCAAATCAAGAAGATCCCAAGCAAGTGTGAACTCACCTCATGACTTGGTTTCCACGGTGGAATCAATTAAGGAACAAGTCCGCAACGAGCTCGTAAGTGAATTTAACGCTTGGGCGAAGCAAATGAACCTACCGAGCTTGCCTTTCCCCTCGAATACACCCGTCGACTCATGTAGTCACCCAAAAGGACAAGGGGAAGATGATATACATGGAGACGATGATGCAAATGAGGTAGTTTTTAAACTTTTAGTTTTGGCATATTGAGTTATGTAGGATCTAAGGTGGCAGTCATTAATTTCTTGTTGCAGGGTGGTACGCCTACACATGCGGACTCGAGGGAGCTCGATAATCCAGCACCTCATCATTTTCCAGATTTACAGGTGATTTTGTTTAGTTCTATCTTAGTGAATATGGGCACATTATCAATCTTAGTGAATATGGGCACATTATCAATTGTGTAGGAAACGACCCCTTGTGATATGTTTGGTTCTAATAACTGATCTTTCAAATTGGTGTAGGAAGAGACCCTTTGTGCACTTCTACACCCGGACGAATCTGAAGCTTTGCATGTGGTTGCATATGGTAGTGCACAACCGGCCGAAAAAGGTACGGTCCATTTGCGACCGCTTAGGCCACAACATTGCTCGGTTGGGATCAATTCTGTTATTACCGGGTTCGAGGACATCCTAATACCGGTGCCCATAGAGGAGGAGGAGTTCATTACACTTTGGGCGGCAAAAGGTAGCTTTGTGCAGTGGCCATGTGCTTGGGTAAGGTTGATGAACCAGGTAATTAAGATTTTGGGTTCGTTCGGTACTTTATGCCCGGTTGTTTTCACAAGAGAAAGATGGATTTGTCTTTTCTAACCAATGGCGTGATTTGTTGTATTAGATTTCGCAAAAAAGACAAACTTCAAAGAGGAAGGTGGAACAACCAATAAGCATTGATCAACCGGTGCCAAAGAAGAGGAGTGAACAAAGGTCGGAGAGTGAAAAAGAGTCGAAGAAGAACTCTTCGAGAGGTTCAGCTTTGCAAGCTACTCCACTTGTTGCTGACACGGTCCTTCAAACGTTGTCTAAAGATTTAACATTTCTACACAACCGTGTTAGTATGTTGCCTAGTGACACTCCCATTCAAGTTCCACTACCTAAGGCAATGTTCCACTTTGATGAGGATGCAGTTGCATGGCTTAGCAAAGAAGATGTGAAAGAATTTCTAAGTGGTTCAATGCTTAACATCTCCCTCGTTCAAACATTCATGAGGTAATTTAATGCCAGACACTATTATGTTATTCAGATTAGTGGTGATTGCTTGTCATTTAATTTCCCATTAATATTTTATTACCATGCATGCAGAGCACTACAGGAGCACTTACTTGAGATTGATTCTCCGTGTCAAGTAGGGTGGTTATGCCCCGAGCAAATCTCCACTACTAGAATCTTAGGCAACTACCCTGACGTGTTGTACTATGTTGAACGGGGTATCAAGGAATCATTGCGTGCGGGTGACAAGTTCATATTCGCCCCATGTTTTGAGGAGTACGTTTGACCATGTCAAATTCATTTGTTTCCCCTAATTATATGTTCTACACGGCTAATTATTGACTTGTTTGTGTATTGTCCATTTCTATAGTGCACATTGGACCCTGCTGGTGATTTGTGTTCCCAGTAACACCATCTTCCTTTTTGATTCAACTCGATTGCCTCATCCGAAAAAGCTCCTCGCACTAGTAGAAAAATCGAAAAAGCCACCCCACTTTTGCCACTCGGTTCTTAAAAACCGGTGTGAAAAATAACGGGGTTGAATTTAGATAACAACTTTTGCCACCGGTTCCTGAAAAACCGGTGCCTTATCCTAATTTTTTTTTGAAAAAAAAAAAAGGAGGAAAAGAGATTTGCCACCGGTTCAAACCAAACCGGTGGGGAAAGGTATTTATACCAGCGGTTCGAACCGGTGGCATTTAAAAAAAAAAAAACCCCGCCTAATTACTACCTTCTTTTTCCTTCGTTCAGGGCACTATTCCATTCATTCGCATTCTCCATATCCCCTGCTTTCCCATGCTGTTCTTCTCGCCTCCATTACTGCAACTTCATCAATTATTCTTCCTCTCTCGTTCTCGCCTACATACGACCCTCACCATTGTTCTCGTCCTTCCTGTCGTCCTCCATTGAAGCGCATTCTGGGTTTCTCACCTCCATTGCCGCGCAACTCTTCTCTTTCTCTCCATAACTCTCCTCCATTGAAGCGCATTCTGTCGAGCATTCTTACCTCCATTGAAGCGCATTCTGACTTTCCAACTACTTTGAGGTATTATTGATTAATTTCGCAATCTAGGGTTAGTCGTTGATTTAGGGTTTTATGTTCTATGTGGTTTTATACTCGTACTACGGTGACAGCTTCAGCAGGGTAAGAATTGGAATTAACCTGAAGAAAATCCCCTGAATTTTTACTCATATTCAATTCTTTGCTGTAGGCTGAATTAGATTACTGGTTTGTGTTGTAACAATTCAGAAATCAATGTGCAGGTACTTACAAGTCGAGGTTGAGTTTCTGCTTGCCTTAATCTGCATCACACTCGTAGCATTCCACACCAATACTTCGAGGTCTACCTTTGTTGGGATCTTCTATGTCATCGTTGGGATCCTTTTCTATGGTGCACCTTTCACTGTTATGGTATGTTATTTTATGTCACGGTTTTATTATTTACTATACGAGTTCATAAATATATACTCATGTGCTAAATTATGAAAGTTGTATGTTTGCCATAACAGCCCCATGTCATAAATACCAAGAGTGTAAAATACATGCCATTGTCTCTTTCGATTGCTGGTTTGTGTAACGGAGTCATTTGGAGTGCATATGCCTGCATCAATGTATTTGATCCCTACATTCTGGTAATCAATTACACCTTATTACATCTAAATAATCTCAATTCTCTATGCCTTAATGGAAGCTCTGATCTGTTGGGCGCGCTTGAATGCCTAAAATAGTATCCTAATCCTATCTTTCTTGTGTGCCTATTTCATTCAAAATGGCCGAAATAAGGCCTATATCACTACTTGTATGCCTATTTTCTATATTTTTGATCAAAATGGCTCATTCTTCCTCTTAACATGTCATTATTACCTAGTTAGGGGCAGCTAAGGCTTGAAATCACATTAAAAGAGCATTTGGATGATTTTGGGACGCAATTTCATTCAAAATGGCCGAAATAAGGCCTATATCACTACATGTATGCCTATTTTCTATATTTTTGATCAAAATGGCTCATTCTTCCTCTTAACATGTCATTATTACCTAGTTAGAGGCAGCTAAGGCTTGAAATCACATTAAAAGAGCAAGTCAAGTGTTTTTAAGACGCAATTTCATTCAAAATGGCCGAAATAAGGCCTATATCACTACATGTATGCCTATTTTCTATGTTTTTGATCAAAATAGCTCGTTATTCCTCTTAACATGTCATTTTTACCTAGTTAGAGGCATCTAAGGCTTGAAATCACATTAAAAGAGCAAGTCAAGTGTTTTAAGACGCAATTTCATTCAAAATGGCCGAAATAAGGCCTATATCACTACTTGTATGCCTATTTTCTATATTTTTGATCAAAATGGCTCATTCTTCCTCTTAACATGTCATTATTACCTAGTTAGAGGCAGCTAAGGCTTGAAATCACATTAAAAGAGCATTTGGATGATTTTGGGACGCAATTTCATTCAAAATGGGACGGTTATTAATTAATATTTATGTATTGTTGTTATTATTCCAATGTAATAATTATTTTATTATTAGTATATTTAATAATAATAATAATAATACGGGTAATAATTTGGGGTATTATTACTGTTATTATAATATATTTTAATGGCAGATTTAATACAGGATGTGCAGGTTTTTAATTATTTTTAATTATAAAAAAAAAATTAAAAAAAAAACAGGTTTTGCCACCGGTTTTTTCAATGAACCGGTGGCCAAAATTAATTTACAAAATGGCGCGCAAGAACTTTTGCCACCGGTTCACTTTGAAAACCGGTGGGGAATGGTAAAGTTTCGCCAGCGGTTCAATTGAAAACCGGTGGCAAAAGTGCTTAGATTAAACCCAAATCAGCAGCTTTTGCCACCGGTTCACCCCAAAACCGGTGGGGAAAGTAATTTTTGCCACCGGTTTAAAACCGGTGGCTTATCTTTGACGGTTTGCCACCCCCCAAATCAAGAACGGTTCAAAACCGGTGGGGAATGGGGGGTTTGAACCGGTGGGGATTGGGGTTTTTCGTCTAGTGTCGTGAAGTCTATACTGCGAAAGTAAATATAGCTATCTAGTGTTGATTATCCTTACATAACTCATTAATTATATTAGTCATACTAATCAAGTTTGAACTTACTTTTCTATAGTGCTATGAAGAAGATAAATTGCCGAGCTCCTCAAGGTCCTACATGGAAATCACCGATGGTAATGCTACATGATTTTGTGATTTTTATAATAAACGATGCGTAAGATGTTGCTAATTTGTTATGCATGTTTGATTCATTTACTGTGTTCCAATGCTAGTGCGCACAACAAGATAACGGAGTTAATTGCGGACTATACGTGATGAGATTCATGTTGGACATAATGAGTCATTGCACAGACTTACAACAGCTTGATGAGGTATGCCATTGACTTAGTTAATTTGCTTTTGTGGTGTGTTTTGATAAGAGAAAACCCTTGACTTGCTCTCTTAATGTGATTTCAAGCCTTAGCTACCTCTAAATAGGTAATAATGACATGTTAAGAGGAAGAATGAGCTAATTTGATCAAAACTATAGAAAATAGGCATACAAGTAGTGATATAGGCCTTATTCGGCCATTTTTAATGAAATTACGTCCTAAAACCATACAAATGCTCTTTTATTGTTATTTCAAGCCTTAGCCGCCTCTAACTAGGTAATAATGACATGTTAAGAGGAAGAATGAGCTAATTTGATTAAAAATATAGAAAATAGGCATACAAGTAGTGATATAGGCCTTATTCGGGCCATTTAGGTTGAAAATGCGTCTTAAAACACTTGACTTGCTCTTTTAATGTGATTTCAAGCCTTAGCTACCTCTACATAGGTAATAATGACATGTTAAGAGGAAGAATGAGCTATTTTGATCAAAAATATAGAAAATAGGCATACAAGTAGTGATATAGGCCTTATTTCGGCCATTTTGAATGAAATTGCATCTTAAAACACTTGAAATGCTCTTTTAATGTGATTTCAAGCCTTAGCCGCCTCTACCTAGGTAATAATGACATGTTAAGAGGAAGAATGAGCTAATTTGATTAAAAATATAGAAAATCGGCGTACAAGTAGTGATATAGGCCTTATTCGGGCCATTTAGGTTGAAAATGCGTCTTAAAACACTTGACTTGCTCTTTTAATGTGATTTAAAGCCTTAGATACCTCTAAATAGGTAATAATGACATGTTAAGAGGAAGAATAAGCTATTTTGATCAAAAATATAGAAAATAGGCATACAAGTAGTGATATAGGCCTTATTTCGGCCATTTTGAATGAAATTGCGTCTTAAAACACTTGAAATGCTCTTTTAATGTGATTTCAAGCCTTAGCCGCCTCTACCTAGGTAATAATGACATGTTAAGAGGAAGAATGAGCTAATTTGATTAAAAATATAGAAAATAGGCATACAAGTAGTGATATAGGCCTTATTTCGGCCATTTTGAATGAAATTGCGTCTTAAAATACTTGAAATGCTCTTTTAATGTTATTTCAAGCCTTAGCTGCCTCTAACTTGGTAATAATGACATGTTAAGAGGAAGAATGAGCTAATTTGATTAAAAATATAGAAAATAGGCATACAAGTAGTGATATAGGCCTTATTTCGGCCATTTTGAATGAAATTGCGTCTTAAAAAGCTTGAAATGCTCTTTTAATGTGATTTCAAGCCTTAGCCGCCTCTTATTAGGTAATAATGACATGTTAAGAGAAAGAATGAGCTAATTTGATTAAAAATATAGAAAATAGGCATACAAGTAGTGATATAGGCCTTATTCAGGCCATTTAGGTTGAAAATGCGTCTTAAAACACTTGACTTGCTCTTTTAATGTGATTTCAAGCCTTAGCTGCCTCTCACTATGTAATAATGACATGTTACGAGAAAGAATGAGCTAATTTGATTAAAAATATAGAAAATAGGCGTACAAGTAGTGATATAGGCCTTATTCGGGCCATTTAGGTTGAAAATGCGTCTTAAAAACACTTGACTTGCTCTTTTAATGTGATTTAAAGCCTTAGATACCTCTAAATAGGTAATAATGACATGTTAAGAGGAAGAATGAGCTATTTTGATCAAAAATATAGAAAATAGGCATACAAGTAGTGATATAGGCCTTATTTCGGCCATTTTGAATGAAATTGCATCTTAAAACACTTGAAATGCTCTTTTAATGTGATTTAAAGCCTTAGATACCTCTAAATAGGTAATAATGACATGTTAAGAGGAAGAATGAGCTATTTTGATCAAAAATATAGAAAATAGGCATACAAGTAGTGATATAGGCCTTATTTCGGCCATTTTGAATGAAATTGCGTCTTAAAACACTTGAAATGCTCTTTTAATGTGATTTCAAGCCTTAGCCGCCTCTACCTAGGTAATAATGACATGTTAAGAGGAAGAATGAGCTAATTTGATTAAAAATATAGAAAATAGGCATACAAGTAGTGATATAGGCCTTATTTCGGCCATTTTGAATGAAATTGCGTCTTAAAATACTTGAAATGCTCTTTTAATGTTATTTCAAGCCTTAGCTGCCTCTAACTAGGTAATAATGACATGTTAAGAGGAAGAATGAGCTAATTTGATTAAAAATATAGAAAATAGGCATACAAGTAGTGATATAGGCCTTATTTCGGCCATTTTGAATGAAATTGCGTCTTAAAAAGCTTGAAATGCTCCTTTAATGTGATTTCAAGCCTTAGCCGCCTCTTATTAGGTAATAATGACATGTTAAGAGAAAGAATGAGCTAATTTGATTAAAAATATAGAAAATAGGCATACAAGTAGTGATATAGGCCTTATTCAGGCCATTTAGGTTGAAAATGCGTCTTAAAACACTTGACTTGCTCTTTTAATGTGATTTCAAGCCTTAGCTGCCTCTCACTATGTAATAATGACATGTTACGAGAAAGAATGAGCTAATTTGATTAAAAATATAGAAAATAGGCGTACAAGTAGTGATATAGGCCTTATTCGGGCCATTTAGGTTGAAAATGCGTCTTAAAACACTTGACTTGCTCTTTTAATGTGATTTAAAGCCTTAGATACCTCTAAATAGGTAATAATGACATGTTAAGAGGAAGAATGAGCTATTTTGATCAAAAATATAGAAAATAGGCATACAAGTAGTGATATAGGCCTTATTTCGGCCATTTTGAATGAAATTGCATCTTAAAACACTTGAAATGCTCTTTTAATGTGATTTCAAGCCTTAGCCGCCTCTACCTAGGTAATAATGACATGTTAAGAGGAAGAATGAGCTAATTTGAATAAAAATATAGAAAATAGGCATACAAGTAGTGTTATAGGCCTTATTTCGGCCATTTTGAATGAAATTGCGTCTTAAAACACTTGAAATGCTCTTTTAATGTTATTTCAAGCCTTAGCTGCCTCTAACTAGGTAATAATGACATGTTAAGAGGAAGAATAAGCTAATTTGATTAAAAATGTAGAAAATAGGCATACAAGTAGTGATATAGGCCTTATTTCGGCCATTTTGAATGAAATTGCGTCTTAAAACACTTGAAATGCTCTTTTAATGTGATTTCAAGCCTTAGCCGCCTCTAACTAGGTAATAATGACATGTTAAGAGAAAGAATGAGCTAATTTGATTAAAAATATAGAAAATAGGCATACAAGTAGTGATATAGGCCTTATTCGAGCCATTTAGGTTGAAAATGCGTCTTAAAACACTTGACTTGCTCTTTTAATGTGATTTCAAGCCTTATCTGCCTCTCACTATGTAATAATGACATGTTAAGAGAAATAATAAGCTAATTTGATTAAAAATATAGAAAATAGGCGTACAAGTAGTGATATAGGCCTTATTCGGGCCATTTAGGTTGAAAATGCGTCTTAAAAACACTTGACTTGCTCTTTTAATGTGATTTCAAGCCTTATCTACCTCTAAATAGGTAATAATGACATGTTAAGAGGAAGAATGAGCTATTTTGATCAAAAATATAGAAAATAGGCATACAAGTAGTGATATAGGCCTTATTTCGGCCATTTTGAATGAAATTGCGTCTTAAAACACTTGAAATGCTCTTTTAATGTGATTTCAAGCCTTAGCCGCCTCTAACTAGGTAACAATGACATGTTAAGAGAAATAATGAGCTAATTTGATTAAAAATATAGAAAATAGGCGTACAAGTAGTGATATAGGCCTTATTTCGGCCATTTTGAATGAAATTGCGTCCAAAAACCCTTGAATTGCTCTTTTAATGTGATTTCAAGCTTTAGCTACCTCTTAATAGGTAATAATGACATGTTAAGAGGAAGAATGAGCTATTTTGATCAAAAATATAGAAAATAGGCATACAAGTAGTGATATAGGCCTTATTTCGGCCATTTTGAATGAAATTTCGTCTTAAAACACTTGAAATGCTCTTTTAATGTTATTTCAAGCCTTAGCCGCCTCTAACTAGGTAATAATGACATGTTAAGAGGAAGAATGAGCTAATTTGATTTAAAATATAGAAAATAGGCATACAAGTAGTGATATAGGCCTTATTTCTGCCATTTTGAATGAAATTGCGTCTTAAAACACTTGACTTGCTCTCTTAATGTGATTTCAAGCCTTAGATACCTCTAAATAGGTAATAAGGACATATTTGCAGCGCTCTAAAACTAAACGTTGCAATTATCATATTTTGCAGTGTTCTGACCTTGGGAACGTTGCAATTATGCTAGTTATTTGCATCGTGCTATTGCTAGGAATGCTGCAAATAATTCTCAAAAATAATATTTAGCTTTTTTGCAGCGTATTTTAGCTTTGAACGCTGCAATTAATTCATTAAATTGTTGACCAACGTTGACTAACCATTATTTGCAGCGTACGATACGTGGGTGCGGCTGCTAATGACAATTTTTTCACTAGTGTTCGCAGAGGTTCATGTTTTGTTTGGGTGGTGGTGATGGTTCTATGGCCGCCATTGATGAATGAGTGAAGGAAGGTTTATGACGGAGTTATTTCATTGTTGGCGCTGTTAAATGCCACGCAACAATAATTGACAACATATACATGACTTGGCAATAAATATTGTTTAACTTATTTACAAAAGAACCATTTGATAAACGAAAAGCGTTTATCAAATATATCAAATGGGGCGGGCTCAATTTCTTAAGCTTGCATTACAATATAGAATTTTATATGTTCTTCTATTGTTGTAGGAGATTTACTATGTTCATGGCTCGTGTCTATAAATTTTTACACTATGATACGTTTTATAGTTTATCACATCCCATGTGGATGCAGCATGAGCCCCACTATGTTCATGGCTTAATACTCTATTCCCTCAATCCCTTTTCGTTTGCATCATGGGCCCATATTTGTGAAAGTTTTTTTAATGGATCAAATAGTGCAAACAACAAGGGACAAAAGGAGTACTTCAAAGGAGATAGAGGTAGATAAGGTTTAAATCTCTGACCTTTTTTGTCATGTTGACGTACTCTTGGTATTATGATGGTTCAAATCGAAGAATAAGTTTTATATTTGTTTCACCTAATTTAAAAGACATTGTATAAAAATGATTTAAGTTTAATAAAAAAAAATTAAGTTTAGCAAAAAATTAAAAGTAAGAAAAACAAGTGAAGTTCTATTCAATAAAAATCAATTTCTACTGTGCATTTAAAATCAATAACTTTAATGAATAAGAAAAAGTTGTAATTAGTATTGTTAATTCAAGTTTAGTAACTATAATTTAAGTTCAACAAAAATATTCAATTCATTGTAAATAATTTCTATTCGGCAAAAAAAATAATGAAGTGAATCGAGACTATATAATTCATTTTGTGTACTGTATTATAATTTTATTAGTTGTACGTTATTTTTTAGTTTTTCTCACTTTTTTTAATAGTTTTTCTGACTTCCCCGTAGACTGTTAACATGAATAATGATAGGTGTTACTCATAGAATATATAGAGTTTTACTCCTTCCTTTCACATATATTAATCGTGTAGCTAGTCCATTTTAATTTTAAGTTGTTTATCCTGTTACTTAAATTGAAATTTTTAAAAGTAAATTAATTAACAAAAAATAATCTAAACTATGAAGAGTAGTCTTCTCATTGATTCTAATCTCAATTGTAGATCAACTCAAAACTATCCCAATTACTCCAATTTCTCCACTTTATGGTAATTACAATAGTTTGACTTTTGCACTATTTCAAAGCTTTTTTTACTATACTTTTTGCTAAATATTAGAAACATATATATTTTTTTTTTGTTCTCACCTAGTTCACCCTTTAGACTAATCCGAATTTAGAGCTCAATTCTGAATAGATAGGTTCTAGTACTATGTAAATTTTAGGTAGGAGCAATGGTAATCGGCTCCAGGTCTTGTGGCAGCATAAGACACGAAAAAAAAAAAACATGCAAGGTGGGGAGGGGGTGCAGAGTTTATTTGTAATTGCACTTTCATAAGATGTAGCTGCTAGGGTTGATCCGATCCATCCCCTTCATTGCACTTTCATCATGGGATAATATATATGTTGCTACGTAATCTATTTATATTGGATTGCATATTTAAAATTTCTTTCCCTCTCTTTCTCTTTCTAATTTTTAATTATAAATTTCAACATCTTTTCCATGCTCCCTTTGGCCTTTAGTTCCTTTGATTATTAAATTTGCTTAACGAGTTAATGGTTTGTTCCTTTGAATTTTTTAATCTTCCACTTTGTATCTTTTCACTTTAATTAGATCTAGATTATTAGCTGGATACCAAAAGCTATGACTTCCATTATTGGCGAATTTCACTACAAATTATAAGTTAAATTATAAGTTATATATAGTATGCATGCCACTACTGACTTGTCAACCTACCCTTGCTAGAAAAAGTTTGTTTAGAGTGAACTTCCAAGAAAAATATGTTCTTATCTACTCATTGATCATACATTCTTTTACTTTGGTATAAAAGAGGTGAAGACGTGCACAATTACAAGCAAACTTGTAATGCAAGATCGAATTCCTTCACATAAAATTATAACGTCACAATCGCAAAATATGGAAGCACAAATAGAAAGAAGCCAGTTACTTGCTATTACAAGACTATATGATGCAGCACTCAAGGGAGACGTACCTTCGTTGCTCAAGTTGCTCGAAGAAGATCCACTTATCCTCGATCGATGCATCATTGGAAAATCGGGAAGCTTTATGCAGTCGCCTTTACATGTTGCGGCTAATATTGGGCACGTAAACTTTACCGAGGAAATAATAAAGCAAAAGCCAGAACTAGTAGAGTTGGTTGATCAAATAAAAAGATCATCACCCCTACACATTGCCTCTGCCAAAGGGAACTTGAAAATCGTCGAAATCTTGCTTGCGGTGAATCCGAGCATTTGCTACACACATGACCAAGATGGTAAGACGCCTGTTCATGTAGCTGCCATAAATGGTCAAATTGAAGTGCTTAGAACTCTTCTCAAGGTAGAGCCACAAGCGGCTTGGGAGCGAACTATTGGTGGTGGCACTGTTTTGCATTTGTGTGTGAAACATAAACAAATAGTCTTTGAGGTTTTTGATAGAAATGATGGATGATAATGAGTTGCTTAACTTCGATGATTCCCTTGGATATACTGTCTTGCACTTAGCTGTGGCGGCCAAGCAATCCGAGGTAAGATGAAAATGAACCATTAGCTGTTTTACTAATATATAACTTATAGCTTTTTTTTTTTTTTTTTTTTTTTTCTTCTTCTTCTTCTTCTTCTTCTTATACAAAGAAAGTATGAAATGAAGTACTTGTATTAATTACTCCCTCTGTCCCTATTTTTTCCCATTTTATATTTCACAGCTCCAAGATGCATCTTAGAACGCATATATATATCTCCATTTTCATCCACGTAAAAATTATGAAAATGTGATATTAATGAAATATGCAACTCATGAGCTCAATCTAACAAGATCATACATGACTATATTATCTCCTATAGATTAACAATAATTTATAGTCAAAGTTTACAAAGTTTGACCCAAAAATTGACAATGGGACAAAACTAAAGGGACAATGAAAGTAGTAACCAACAATAGTGTAGAACCATATATGCACGAGAAAATCAAAGTAAGGAGGATTAAGACCATGCTAGACCCAGCCTCAACTTCAAATTTGAGGATATGGGACCAAATTTTTAAACCCTACGAGATCAATGGATAGGATCAGATTTGAAATCAAACATACTTAGTTTAGGTCTGATTAGAGAGTCTAACGATTATAGACCTAAACTCGACATATGTTTTCCCCTTGAATCCGTACATGTTTTTTCTCAAATTATTTTTTATAACTACGAAGTATGTTATATCATACTATGTATATATTTTGTATTTTATGTAGCCATTTTATGTACTTCGTATGATTTTTGACTCTAAACTATAATGCACTACTTACAAATGAAATATTTTAACATCAAAATATTGTTTTGTCCATCATTTAAGGACTGTATTTTGTTTTAACTTTCTATCCATCATAAATAAAAATAATAAAAAAAATAATATAAATGTCTTTTTTTTCTTTTTGTCTATTAACTACAAGTCACAACCCTTGAGACCCTAACTTATCATTTTTTTTATTAACTATAACTTCCCGCAACTTTCAATATTGTTTCCAAGGTGTATTTTAATTTGTACATCATATCACATTGCACCTAGGGTAAAATAAAAGGAATAAAAATGGCCATGCAAAATAGTTGGAAAGTAAAATGTTATGGATTAATCAGAAACCCATTTGGACTTTGGACCTAACACACCTAGTAAAATGTTATGAATTGATACAATTTAAAGCTTATCAATTGATACATCCCTAATGGTGGTGGCATCCTTGATCGCAACCATGGCCTTCCAAGCCGGAATTAATCCCCCAGGAGGCGTTTGGCAGGATGATTTAGCCTATTCAGGTACAATAGATGAAATGTCAGGAATGTATATTGGCCATGATGCAGGTACTGCTATATGGTCATATAGTAAAGATACTGCTTATAGTTTTGCACTAATTAGTAACACAATAGGACTAATATCATCACTAAGTGTCATCCTTCTCCTTATCAGCGGCCTTCCATGCAAGCGATATTTCTTGACATTTTGAAGGATAACCTTGTGGATTTCTGTCACGGCAACAGCATTTACATACATGTTCTCGGTATCTAATATAACTCACAATGACGGCGGTATTTGGGCTGCTACAACCATCTCTCTTCTAGCATGGCTAGGGTTAATGGGATTTATACTCGTTGGACATGTTGTGCGATTTATATGGAAGAAGATTAGTTGGCGAAAGAGGCAATCAATAATAAAGTTTTTCAAGAGGTGTTATCCATGGTCAAAAATCACTACAAATGTATCAAATACAAGCAATCATGTATAATAGTCAAAACTCACTAATGTGTGTCGTCACAATCCATCTTAAGCTTTAGCTTTTTGTAGCTTTACATTCTAGTATTCTACACGTACTAATGTATGCAATAATCAATTGCAATTGGCTTATCTTAATTTATAATGATACCACTCTTATCTACTTCGTAATTATTTAAGCTTACAATATACTTCGTATAGAATTTTGTATGTGCTTACATTATTGTTGTAGGAGCTAAGATTTATTATGTTCAATTCACGGCTGGCGTGTATAAATTTTTACACTGCGATATATATATTTATACTTTATCACATCCCGCGTGGACGCAGCATGGGCCCTATTCATGCTTAAAATTCTACTCAAGAGGAGATAAAGGTAGATGTGAGATTTGAATATGTGACTTGTTTGTCATATTGATGTACACTCTTGATATTATGATGGTTGAAACCCAAGAATAAGTTGTATACTCTATTTTACCTATTTCAAATGATATTCTATAAAAATGATTTATGTTTAACAAAGATAAATAAAATTCAGCAAAAGAAAAATAATTAAAACTAAGAAAAACAAGTAAAAATAAATTTTGATCATGTATTAAAAAGTAATTTAAGTTGTAATCCATATTGCTAATTTCAGTTCAGTAACCACAATTTAAGTTTAGCAAAAATAATTTAATTTCAGTAAAATTCATTACAAATAATTTCAATTGGGCAATCAAAATAAATGAAGTGATCGAGCCTATATATTGCTTTTTATGTACTGTATTATAATTTTATTTTTTTAAGTTTTTTTATTTTTTTTTCTCACTTTTAATGGTTTTTTGTCTTCCCCATAGACTACTAACATGAATAATGATAGGTGTTACTCATAGATTATATAGAGATTTACTCCTTCCTTTGACATATATTCTTCATGTTGTCCATTTTAATTTTAAGTTATTTATCCAGTTAATTCAATTGAATTTTTTTTGGGAAATTAACAAAAATAATCCAAATTATGAAGAGCCTTTTCATTCTAATCTCAATTGTTGATCAACTCAATATAATTCCAATTACTCCGATCCCTCCGTTTCACAATAATTGCTTTTGCACTATTTATTAGCTTCCTTTACTAAATTTTTTACTAAAATATTAATAACATGTATTTTTGGTGTTCCCACCCTATTTACCCTTTATGCTAACCCGAATTTAGAGCTCAGTTCTTTGTAGTCAGGTTCTAGTACGACGTAAATTTTAGGTAGTAGCAATGGTTACCGGCTCTAGGCCTTGTGGCAGCGCATCAGACACGAAAAAGAAAAAGTTAACAAAATTTGCAATTGCACTTTCATAAGATGTACTGTAGTTGCTATGTTGATTCATCGCCTTCCTTGCACTTTCGTTATGGGATAAGATGTTGCTACATATATTAGTGTTCTATACATTGAATTATAAAAATTCAAGTATAATTGTCGACTATCGACGACTACGGACGAATATATTTGACTACGATAAGAGATTAAATCTGAACTGTTTATATTTATTTATCTAATCCTAGCCATCCATTCTAACATTTATGCTACACAGTCATAAGAGCATGTTTGGTTATTAGATAATTTTTTTTACACGCATGGAATTTATTTTTACTAAAATCGAAAAAAAAATAGCAAAATTTAAATACATCATCTTCAACCTATATTATCTTCAAGTTTATATAACCTTCGTAACGTATGAATTTAACTTCATCTTCAACCTATGCCATTTTCATCCTAAAATCTTAATGTTCAATAACCTAAAACCTTCATCTGAATCTTATGCATCATTACCAAAGTATGTATGAAATCAATAAAATCAATGTCTATTCACTAGGCGAAAAACCCCAATCCCCACCGGTTCAAACCATACATTCCCCACCGGTTTTGAACCGGTTTTGATTTGGGGGGTGCGAAATCCCAAAAGATTTCCCACCGGTTAAAAACCGGTGGCAAAAACCATTTTTCCCACCGGTTTTGGAGTGAACCGGTGGCAAAAGCTTATGATTTATGTTATAGTTGAGCACTTTTCCCACCGGTTTTGGGGTGAACCGGTGGCAAAACTATAACATTTCCCACCGGTTTTCACACTGACCCGGTGGCAAAAGTGCCCCAAAAAATTAAAAAATTTTTTTTTTTTTTTTTTTTTTACATTTTTTTCACTTAAATTGTACCAAATACTTATATATAATCATAATATACATAAAACACATACATTTGCCTCAATAACTTGTAATATTACACTTTAAAAACTGAAAAAAAAAAAAAAAAAAAAAAAAAAAACATATAGCTGTTTTGCTGGGCCTGGTGCTACAACGTTGTGAACGATAGTGCATGTCAACAAGATAATTATAAAAGCTGCCCAGGATATCATAACTACTGCTGTTCTGCTTCTGCTACTACTACTGCTACTGCTGTTCTGCTACTGCTTCTGCTACTATTGTTCTGCTTCTGCTACTTTGTGTTCTGCTTGCTGTTCTGCTATTGCTATTCTGCTACTGCTTGAATTGCTTTGCTGTTCTGCTATTGCTATTCTGCTACTGCTTAAAAAAAATGTATTTGTTGGAATCTGTGTTAATAAATTAGAAGAAACAAATCCATTCAGCAAGGTGATTTTTCTAAGAGCATAACATGGATACTGGAAACTATATGCAACAAAATAACCTAATAAGGAACCATAGAGTTGCATGATCCCTAAAGAGAAACATCAGACCCATAGTCTAAACTAGATGCAGCATTCTTTTCTGAAAGAAAGTAAAAGAACTTCAATCACTTGGACCACATGGCCAACAGCCCGTACTATTCAGACACCTCATTTTATATCGTGTTGACTGCTAGGTACTTGACACTAAAATAAGTGTGTAGACAATTTATTATCACATTTCGGACCAAAATCATCCAAAATCTTTCATAAAGCAGCTAAGTCTGACACTTAGACAAGATCTCCTATCCAATACAAATAGCCAATTCTGAGTAACATAGCTTCTTATCATCCATCTGTTTTCCCTCTCTCCTTCTTAGAGACAGTGTATTAGGACTGCCAGTTCATAAATCTAAAGGTGTGGACAAAGCTAAATAAGGTCAGAGCCCATACGCTACAAGTAACAACTAACAGCGGTACGAAAATCCAAGATAGAAACAGATAAGGTCAAAGTGAGGGTTAAATAAATTTCAAAGGAAAAGAAATACTTGGATAAGAGAGAATGTGTGGTCCAAAAAATCTAAATTATATAAGATTTACCGAGAAAGGAAAGATGCCAAGTGAGTACGAAATTCATGAAATGGACCAAAACAGAAAGTAGATAGCAATTCATGGAACGAAGGTAGTAGTTAATAATAAAATGGCACTTTGTATCATGATAGCAATAGAAAATTAAATGTTTGTAAAATAAGACAAAAGAAAACATCCATATAATAAAAGAAAAGACTGGCTTCATCATCAAAAACACCACATGCAATCCTAATAAGACAAAGGAAGATATCCATATACGAGTAATAGAAGAAAAAACTGCTTCATCATCAAAAACACCAAATACAATCCCTCCTAAAATAAAAATGCTAATATGATATTTTATGAGTCGGCAAGGAATTCGTTTGACAAAATTTGTTGGCTAGTTAGTAAGGCATACACTGAATCAACTTATTGCATGTTTATGCTTAGAAGCCTTAGACCTCAACTCGTTTGAATAAGTCGTCTCAAGACCAGCTGATTGCAGCAAAAATAAGTTGTGAGACCGATCTCATCATACAACTATAATTCTAGCGGCGAAATGCCTCTGCCTATTGCTAGAAATTTGTTTGATCACCACACATGAATGATGCAAACTACAATATCCCAACAGTAAAAATCAGTTTCTGCTTCATAGTTCAGAGAAATTTAAAGTTCAAATGCTTCATTATTATACATATGCAACAAGCTATGATCAATCAAATGATCCAGAATTCACAAATTAAGTTAAGAAATTATTAATCTGATCATATATATCCCTCTTCATTTTTAAGAATCTACATTTCTGTAACAAATGAACTCTTTTAATTATTTCTTCCACGATTAAGATCAGATGAACCCGATTCGGATTTCATACACTTAACAGATTATCAAGCATATTCAAACAAATGATCCTCAGAAAATAACATATATACTGTACATAACTTTAACCGTATATGTTTACATCATCAAAATATGCGATTAAACTACCTATTTCGGTGCTCATTTAACCTTGAGATTGATATATATGAGTAGCTTGATCAGGATATTTATCATTGATTAATTTTGTTTTTTTTTTTAATGTAAATAGTAGGATTAATTGAATTCAAAATATTTTAATTTGAATTAAATTTTAAGTCACAAAATAATGGTACAAATATATAAAAAAATGAATAATTCATGAATCCATCAGGGGTTTTTTTATCCAAAACTTCTCAAACTGTGTTACCTCAACGGACAAACCGGAGCAAATCACAGTGAGAAGTATGAAAGTGAGTCCCTTCATCATATGGATTATCCTAGTGTAACTGTGTAACTAATCATCAACCCCTAACATAGTCAAAACTTCTGCCTAAAAGTCTCAACAACCATTTCACATGATTGGAATCTAATGGCAAATAGTGTTGACTAGAAATTGGGATGAAAATCTCATTTTTTGGACACACATCATTGATGCAAATAAACTGTATACCCCCATTATACAGAGCAAATTGTATTCACTTAAGGTTATATATACCCTATTAACCATCAAGTAAATCATTCTTAAATCACCATCATTATCATACCCATTAGCATAACAATCTTATAGCCATCAAGTACATCAAGGACAAATCACCAACATTATCATAATCATTAACACAACAATCTTATAGCCATCAAGTAAATCATTCTCAAATCCCCAACATTATCATAACATTTAACGTAACAATCTTATAGCCATCAATTAAATCATTCTCAAATCACCAACATTTTCTCAATCATCAACATAAGCATATTCATCAACATAACAATCTAATAATCATAATCATCATCATAAGCATAAGCATAATCAATATCATAACTATCTCATAATCATAATCTCAATCAATATCATAGACATATATAATCAACATAACAATCTCATAATCATAATCAATATCATATCATAATCACACTCCCAACACCAACAGTGAACTTCACATCACCAAACGCAACCAAGCATATATAATACCCCCGGCCAACAACAGATCACAGTTGCTGGCATCCAAATATATTTTCCAATACAACTAACCTAAATAAGATAAAATTGAAATAATTCAATAAAAACTAAAAATGGAGAGAGAAGACTTAGCTGAGTGATTAGTAGAATTGATTAATATTACTGCCAAATGTCAAGATGAATAAAGCTTTTAGGAGCATATCCATTCTATAAGCTGCCAGAAAAAAGAATATATACCTAAATTGGTGGCAAAATTCAAAAGATTAGATAGTTGGATCAACAAATGCACAATAATTACTACTTAGTTCGAAATGATTGATGGAGCCACTGCAGGCCATTAAACACATACATGAAGACTACACATACATGAAGACTACTGTAATGTAGAATTAATTAAGCATTAAGAGAAGTAAAGGCTTCCTTTTGACGGCTCAGAGGCCTTATTGCCTTAAGCATATAATTACAAAAATAAAATATGAGAACACGTATGATAACAGAGTCCAACGATATAAAAAAGAAACTGCTATTAAATATGTAAATATGATTGGGTGAATTGGTGCAAGACAAAAGGGGAATTATATCCTGCGAATTGCAAGGACATGGAATAATATTCTATTGCAAACACATGAACTTGACTAATTATGTTATTCAACAGATACATTTTGATATTTCACAAGCTTTAGTTGTTACTGACATTAATATTCAGCTAAAGACCAGGAAATCAGAGAAGATGGAACTTCATAACCTCATTGAACAATACATCATATTTCTAGAGTAAAACCAGCCCTCAAAAGTGTAGGTCTATTTTACCGGTAACCCATAAAAATCAGAAACTTTAACTTTCAAAATCTATCAGCTGGATAAACCAAGACAAACCAAGACAGATAATCATTAATTACTACTACACAAAAAAAAAAGTAGATTTTATGCACCAAATTCATTTAAAAAACAAATTCAAAGATTCATCAAAAGGACAACCACATAAACAAATTGATAAAAACTAATCAAAATTACAAACAACTCAAGCAAATTAAAATAAATAGTTGAATTCATAGTTTCATACCTTCAAGTCTAACATGATGAATGATTCCTGAAGTATAATTCAACAGAACTTCAAAAGGGTACAACTGGCTGTAAACCATAGGGATACTAAGAGTACAATTCCACCTTAAGTTCCTCCTTATCTCTCCTACATTCTCTCCCTTTCTCATTGTCTTCCTTCGATTTTCATTCTTTCTTACCTTTTTAGGTAAATTTCGACTGCTCCCATGAAGTGGGTAATAAATTGGATAATAATTACAATTTCATTAAGCAATCCTTGAATAATATTAAGCCCAAATTTCAACAAAAAACCAAATTTTCAGGGAAAAAAACTACCTGAAAATGGATCCATCAGAAGCAGCAGAGAAAGAAACAAACGCATTCTGAAAACAGCAATCAAGTACTGCAGCTTCTGTTTGAACTTCTAATCTAAGCTTACTGCTTTCCACATCCACCAACCTAATACTCTAAAAATATTGAAGAAAAAATTAATTAAATTGAGTGAAATTCAAAAGAAAATTGTGAATAATAATTTATGAAGAAGCAAATAATAGTAACTTACAGAATCCCAAGATGAAATGAGAAGATTGTTGGATTCTAGAGCAAATTGTACACGAGTAATCGTAAGATAGCACGATTGTTATGAACAATAATCAACATTAAAATGTAATAACTATAAATAACACAATTGTCTTCATCAAATTAACCTTAGAATTTCAAACTTGCTCAATTCAAATTGAATCTTTAATATAAAGAAAGAGAGATTACTTAGACCAGATCTATGCAGAAGACATTGATAAAGGAAAGATATGGAGGAGCGGAGAAGAATGCGACGGCGAAGAGTGACGATAGTGGTGGAGCCGTGGAGAGCAGGTGAAGCATGAGGGTGACAGTGGGTCATGAGAACCTCGAAGAGGCTCCGGTGAGGATGACGGTGACTGGGAAAGTCGCGGCTTCTCAAAATCGCAGCCCTCGTAGAAGATGAAGAAGAATGAAGGAGGAGAGAGAAGCTAAGGTAGGTGAGAGAGGAGGAGATTTCGAGGAAGGAGAAAGAAAGAAGATATTTCGGTTTTTTTTTTTAAGAACATTCGCACCGGTTCGAACCGAACCGGTGCGAAAAACTCATTTTTCCTACCGGTTTGTTTAAAACCGGTGGGAAAAGTATTTTTCCCAATTCCACCCATTTCTTTTCCCACCGGTTTTCAAGAACCGGTGCGAAAATTGCGGTGCGGAATTCAATTTTTCTACTAGTGATTTATCATGATTCAAGTTCAATTTAAATCAAATATAGTCAAATATTTAAACAAAAATTATAAAAAATTTATTTATATGTATTATAAAAATTGTTAAAGATTAACTTATTATATATTATGGTTTCGTGTTAACTTTTGATCGATTTCAAGATTAATATGTCATTGTTGAATGTTAAGAATTAATTTTCTAATTTTATTATCTATTTTAAAATTTCGAGATTAAATACATGAATAGTCGAATGATTTTGTGTTTAACTCTAGTTAGTCACATAATCATGAATTATTGAATAATCATTCGCTATTATTAAATGTTGAAGGCCTTGAAGCTATGGACAAGATTTTAGGTTGAAGATGAAGCTATATATGAACATGATTTTAGGTTGAAGATGAATAAAAATAACATAAAAATAAATTAATATAAAACAATTAAAAACTGCTGATGGAGGTTATTCCATGTTTTTAGGGACAATTTCCTTTTTCTTTTTTCCATTTATAGAGAGGGCGTTATTTGGTAGGGGTGTTAAAAAAACCCGACCCGGTTGAAGGCCTTGAAGCTATGGACAAGATTTTAGGTTGAAGATGAAGCTATATATGAACATGATTTTAGGTTGAAGATGAATAAAAATAACATAAAAATAAATTAATATAAAACAATTAAAAACTGCTGATGGAGGTTATTCCATGTTTTTAGGGACAATTTCCTTTTTCTTTTTTCCATTTATAGAGAGGGCGTTATTTGGTAGGGGTGTTAAAAAAAACCCGACCCGGTTGTCCCGTCCCTATTACTCGATGACCCGCAAAAAACTCGATGGGAAATTGACAAATTTTTCTTTTTTATCGGGTCAGGTACCCGTCCCGCTAAAATAGCAGTTTCGTGGACCGGGACATGGGACAAGCTTTGCTAATCTCGGATACCCGGATACCCGTTTAAAAAATAAAAAATAAAAAATTTCGTTACTCCCTAACCAGCCCAGCCCACTAGACAATTCAATAGGTGTTTTTACTTGTTAGGGTTTATAGGTTAGTGTCTTTCACATTTCACCTTCTCTTGTATCATAGCCAGTTGTTTCCTCTCTTCTCTCTCTATGGTTTTCCTCTAAATCTCCATCTCTATCTCTCTCTTTCGCTAGTTTTCCTCTTAATCTCTAATCTCCATATATATATATATATATATATATATATATATATATATATATATATATATATATATATATATATATATATATATATATATATATATATATATATATATATATATATATATATATATATATATATATATATATTTATCTTTTATTTTCCAATGAGATATCCCTCTTATAATACGATATTTATCCCTCTTATTATCAATATTTATTTACATCTTGGGTCTAATTTTGTTCGAATTATGGAGGAGGTGAGTGGTTTGATTTTGTGAGGGGGTCTTTATTTTTGAGTTATAATCGAGAAAAGGTGGTGGTTGATTGTGGGTTTTCAATTTTTGGGCTAGAATCGTGATTCGTGGTGTCTTTGTAGTGCAAGAGAAAAAGGGAGGAAGATGGTGGTCTAGTGGATGATGTTTTTCATGATAATTGTTGATGATGAAGTAAAATCAGTGGAATAGCTAACTAACGAAATCTGTTTTTTTTTTTTTTTCCTTTTTAAATGCTTACTGTAATAAAGATTTATTTTTATTTTTTTAGTAGTATTAACTTCTTCTAATTGTGTGTATTTTTAGTTGTGCTTGACTTCTAATAGTATGAACTTTGGGTAGTAGATTTTATATTGTTTATCATTTTTCACTTTTTGGGCATATATTGTCATATTAAATCCGAGTACCCGTGTCCCGTCCTGGATAATTCGGGTACCCGTCCGGGACGGGACACGGGCCGACTTATCAACTACCCGAAGATCCGAGTACCCGAATTTTCGGGTATTCGAATATTCGGGTACCAGAATCTAAACACCCCTATTATTTGGGGAGGACATTAATTAATTTAGTTATTTTTTTAATTAAAATAGATAGAGCGTTATTTTGGGGGGGGGGTGTGGAATATATTGTATAATATTTTCTTATATTTGATTGCTTTATAATTATGTTAATTAATGCCTTAATGGATATAAAATCAGAGAATAATTAAATTTTTTTTTGAAAGAAGGGAATAATTATTAATATAACGAATGAATCTTTTTCATAAATAAAATATCACAAAAATGTTAATTAATTATTTTTCTATAGGTTGTTTTTTCTTGCCTATGTTTGATTTAAATTTTTCATACAAAAAAAAAAAGAAATTCTAATTAGAATTAGAATAAGTTTTGATTACGTGTATGATGTCCTTCTAAATTTATCTTTTGATTACTAAAGTATAATAATAATATTAAGAATAAGTTGAGAGTTTGTTATGTACACCCGGGTGTACGGTGCACCTAAAGGTATTGTTTGCTCATATTATTGATTATTGCTCATTTAATCATCAAATGAGCAAAAAATACTCTTGGGTGCACCATGCACCGGGTGTATACAATTATTTTCAGAATAAGTTAACTGATTACTAAATTATAATAATATAAGAATAAAAGTTAACACAAAATATGTCCTCAAAAAAAAAATTTAACACATTAGTTAACTTTTGATTACTAAATTATAATAATAATAAGAAGAATAAGTTTCCTTTAAAACAAAAAAAAATTCTAAAAAAAAAAAAGAAGAAGAAGTTAACGTGAATTTATCTTTTTTTCATTTAAGCAATTTAACCTTATCTATTCATTAATGATTTTGTATTTTTGTTACAATATCTTACAAATGTGTTATAAAATAGTGTATGTGTACCATTTTAATTTTAATGAACTAAACTAACTATTTAAACTTATATTTTTAAAGGACACCATACACGTATTTGTAAAATTCATATACATTCTCGTACAAAAAATATAAAAATAAAAACATACACACATTTTTAATATTTTTTTTTACTATTTTTCTCTCTATGTTTATTTAGGGCATTCTTAAATTAAATTTAGGGATACCTAAATATATAAGAATCTAATTATTCTACGAGTTGAGTTCTACATACAAGATATTGATTGCAAGATGAGTTTTACGTAAGGAATTTTTTTTGCCAAACGTCAACACTTAAGAGTGACATAAATTTTTATGCTTCGTGAATGAAATTATCCTCCAAATTGTGTTGATTAAAGTCAAATTAATATCTATATTATACATTAAAAGGCGTTCATTTCAAAGGAACGATGCCACACGTGGCACTCTTCAAAATATATGCACAATGTCACGTTAGTACGTCACTATCCAAAGTGTATGCGCCACGTAAACTTGCCACTTCATTTAACAAAATAAATTATGTTTTGAGCTAGATTCAATTGGAACTTGTATACTCCAACAACACATAATACAGGTCATACATTTACCAATTTTACCGTCTCAACCAATTTTGATTAATGTTTTAAATTTTACTTAATTAACATTATTTATTCCTTTCATTTATACAGTAATTTAGAGGTAATTATATAATTTATTTATTCATCATAAGATTAGAAAATAAATACATATGAGGTTGCACTAACTTTTCCTCAAAAAAAATTATGAGGTTAAAAAAAAAACAAAAAAATAGTATCACCTAAGACAATACCCGAAGCAAATACAGAAACACTAACTATACAAATAGTTGAACATAATTATCAAATTAAAGAAATATAAACTAGCAACCCAGGACGTCGCCCGTGCTACACACTAGTTAGCTTATTATTTTGGGACTACCTAGTTTTGAATTGGGGCCGCTTAATTATATGTGTTTGTTATGTAATACACACGTGTTTTGTCTAAGCATTCAATTATGTGTACTAGACTTCGAGTTTTCTACATTAAAATCGATAGTGTGATTAATTGAATTAACCTTAGTAATATATAATTTTTTTTTTTAGTATAAAAAAAAAAAAAAAAAAAAAAAAAAAAAAAAAGATATGTTCATTTTGGTACTCCTAAAATAAGGGATATATAAAAATAAGGATCTATTTATGCAATGCGAAGGTAAGAGATATATAACATATATATTAGAGGGGATCATAAATTCAGGTCGGGTCGGGCCTTAATATTAAAAGTCATGCCCAAACCCACCTAAAAGTGGCGGGCTTGTCGGGCCATAACGGGCTTTCGAGCCGATTCGGGCTTTTAGCAAAAAAGTTTATTTTTAGCTTGTCCAAACCCGCCTTATTTTCGGACCGGGCTATTGTTTATCACCTCTAATATATATGTCAAATAGTAGAGTAAAGGAAATAATTAGGTTACGTAAATGAGTTTTATCCTCTCATGTGCCACCTTATAAAATGACCTACTTAAAAGGACATTTCTGAAGAATTTTCCTAATGAATATTAAATGTCATTTTTTTTTTAATTATCGTGGATCAAAATGAATAGTATGAGTATTACATTATATAAATGTTATT